GAATTCTTTGGATTGAATACACCCAAAATCCAAATTAATTATTATTAGTACTCGGAAATGCATAGTGCATAAGAGGAAATTAATGGCACCATTTCACCATTCCAAAGTATTTTCAACTCTGTGTTTAATTTACTTAAAAAAAAAAAAAAGCACCCAGAATCACTTAGCTTGTAGTACAGCCAGATTTAATTTGATGTATTTGTCCAAGGTTCCTAAAGGTAATCTTAAAATCATATACCAAATTTTCTGTAGCTGGTGGTAAATGACTTCATTCCTATAGGAACAAGTTTCAAATTGCTTGCCAGCATCTGTAAAAAGAATCTAATTTTCAAATATAGCTATGGCCAAGGTCTTAGTTCATTCTAAGACGAGGTTGCAGGAGCAAGAGAAAGCATTGTTTTGATTACTGGTCAGAACTTTACCACTGCTTGTGAAAGTATTTTGCATGTATAAAAGTGATCACATACTCTATCATAGTTATTCAGATCAAAGCCTGAACAGGAACAACAGCAGGCTTTTGATTTGCAAGAAAATCCTTATTTTAGTTGAGGAGAAATAAATGTTGCAATGTGATCCAACTTTGACTAAGATCTCAGTGTTAAGAGGCTTTAGTACTGGTAATGACCAAGTGCCTTCAGTTATCTCACAGTGCACCACAGCATTAAATGTAAGTATTCAAAAGCTCCCTAAGCTGTTAATACCTATTTCCCTACTCTAAGCATATCCCAGCCCACAGGTAGCATAAATGGTCAGCATGCAACTGCCAAAGCTACAAATCACCTGGCTGTACAATACTGCCTACAGCTTAGCTATCAATATTTGTATTTAGTCAAAAAGGCATTTTTTTTCTTATCATAATTATTCAAAGGATTGCCAAGTTCCCAGTTCAACCTTCCACCCAGGTCAGTGCTCTACAGAATCAAATATTTTCTCATTGCCAGCTCGTGAAATTTCAATGATTTCTTCATAAAAGTAAATATAATTGCATTTGAGTTGAGCAAGCTTTTTTTTTCCCCCTATACTTAAATTGCTCAACATAGAGGCACCATAAAACATTTGCTCTCAGATTGCACATGAACCATTAGCAGACTTCTGGAGACTTGGAGCTCTTTGGAAGCCAAGCATTTCACAATGGTAAGTTAAAGGTTTAGATTTTCTTAAAAATTAGGATATGGATAGCTACTTGCTTTAAAACTGCAAAAGAAGGAATCTTGGGAGAATCACCTAGTTACACATTTTAAAGGAGAATATATATTCTATTAAAAAAACTGCAAGATGCCAAGAAAGATACCTTTGTGAAGATTACTGTGAATTTTGTTCTTTTTTTTGTAATTCTTTGCAAGAAACAGAACACATATCTCTTGGTCTTTCCCTTGCTGTTACCCTTTTCTCAGAAATGTTTGTGAAAATATTCAGAATGTTGTAAGCATTTAGGACCATGCTTTTAAAATCTATATATGCAAAATACATTTTAAAATATATTTTCTTTACAATGAAAAGTGTAATACACAGTGTCTTTTGTCTACATTTCTCTCTTGGTTTATGAAGTTGTGTCCTGTTTAATCTGTTCAAGCCTCCAAATGTGTTTGCAAAGTCTGAATCAACAGTTAGGTAATGCTAAGTAGATAGACAAAGCCCTGTGGCCCAGTTTTCCTCCAATTTATGCTTGCATAATCCCCAAAGGTACAGACATAAATTACTACCTTTGATGAGAATTTCAAGAGTGGCATTAATTTGACAGAAGTGGCAGGAATTTCTGTAATATGTGTAGATTCACAAATAAAGGGAGAAATTATAATCTATTTCTTTCTCTGCCTAAGCTTTCCTGAGGGCTTGTTTATATTCATATGAGACTAAGTTGAATAAAATGATCTATCTCATTCTACATTAATTCACCTACTTTCAAAGGCCACCACATCCAGTTTGAAAGATTCTGTTCTACAAAATGTTGGGTGACATCCCCTTTTTAAGAGAGCAAAAAAGAAGAAAACAAACAAAACCAAAACCAACCTTGGAGTGCCTCACAGGCTGCCCAGAACAACACGACTCTGATGTTTACCTAACAGCTCTCTGGCATCAGTGAAACAGTAATAACCTCTGCCATTTCCAGTAAAGGATAGTGTTTCTGCTAGTGCTTTTTAACCTGTTGGTTACTCTCTGCACTCAACCTACTTAGATGTGGGACTTTCACTGGTAAATATGTTGCTTAGCTGATGTATCCTTTGGTTATTCCCGCATAAAGCCAGTTCAGACAGCAATTAGACACCACAGATTTCCCCTTCTGTTTAGTGGAAGGGTCAGAACTGTGGTCTTTAGAGACAAGACTATGCACAAGTTCACCTAACTAGCCTTTCTAGGAACAGCAAGATAACAGAAGACAGCTCAGTGAAAGAAGAATCTTAGTCTTTTCTATAAAGACTAAAGATGAATGACAGTAGTAATATGTCTGGTAGAGCTGGCCTGTGTTGTTGCAAACATCTGAACCAGTTTGAAAGAAAGCCACTACCAAGCTCAAGATGAATGACTAATACACAGCAAATAGTATCCCAAACATCTTGAAAACCTCTGTGGAAAGCCATGATTCCCAGTGCTCACAGAGCCCCAGATAGCTACACAGCCTCAAGGGTCCATGCCAAATGTATGTGAAGCCTCATCAGAGATCAGCTGCAATGTCACATCCTACAGCTTCATAGAACAGGAGTTGCTTAGGCAATTTTCTTTTAACCAGACACCACAGAATAAGAGTTTCAGTCTTTCTTCTTAACTTTGCTACTTCTGGCTATGGTGCTTTGCATGTCAACTGGCTCTATCCCACCCCAAAGCCTCAGGGACCACAAATCACAAAACCCATTCCCAGACCACTTCCCAGACCAATCCATAAAACCTTCTCCCTTTCACTGCACCGTAAATGTCCCTCAGCACTCTAAGAAAGCATCACATCAAGGATTAAAATAGCAAGGTTTTTTCCATAGCAAAGATAAGAGATTCCCTCTAGTTTACTATCTGCATAAGTTCGGGACCTTTCAGTGTCTTTTGACATTCATGATTCAAGTAACCCAAGGTGGAGAGCAGAGCTGCCTAGAAAAACAAGCAAACAAACAACCCAACACCTCTCACTGCTATTTTAAACACCTGTTTCAAGAGTCTCTGGATTTCAGAACAATAACCCTGAAAGGTCTACTCATTTTACAGTCCTTTCATGTTAACCTACGGGTGCTATCAGGAGAACTGAAATAATGTCCTCATTTTCTTCTCAGTATTTGGCCTTTCCTAAACATTTGCCCATCAAAATAACCCTGTGCTGTCTTCTCTACCCAGCCACTTGTATCAAGAAATATCCTGGAACATCTCCACTCCACTGTGAAATTTGGAGAAATTGCTGTACCCACAAGAGGAGCAGTGGGATGCTCTACAAACAGTGATTTACTGGAGAAAGAGTTAAATCTGCCTCAACATCAGTAAATAAAGCACTAATAAGAGTCTAGCAGAGCTTTCAAGTCTACAATACTATTGAAGCTTTTTGTGATTTCTAGAGACTGGAATTTGGCAGGGAGTGAAAATGCTGACATATTTGTATCATAGCATTGTCTCTTCTCACCTAAAGGAAAAAGTCATTAACTCAGTGAAATACGTGGAGTGTCTTTTTCCAACATTTTCAGATACACATAAGGTCATTTCTAATTTTTGCTTCAGGTTCAATGACTTAGCTTTTGAGAACAAAGATTATAAAAGTGGAATTAAACTCATACCATGGGTTCTGTGTCTCTTTTACAGAAGAGCTTTCTGGCTTTCCTTGTTGCAATGGGCATCATAGTGACACTGGGTGATGCATACTGCTTTTCTAAACTGTACAAGACAGGGGAGGCCAAAGAAGGTAAGAACAGGGAATGTCATTTCACTTGATTTTTCTGTGGCAGCTCACCTCTGTGTGGAGCTGCAAGCAAGGGCTCAAAATACAAGGGAGGGGGGAGATGTCAGAAAGACACAGATAGGAGGTTCCAGCCCTAGCCTACCAAATGCAGGGAAAAACAAAGTTTCCTCCTGGACTGGGTATGGTTGCAGCAATATTATTGCTGTTGGTGGTAGGTTGCTATTGCAGCACATGAAGCTGATGCAGGAATTGAGAATAGTTCTGACTAAAGTTCAGTGTCAAACCTGCTGTTTGGTTGCTCAGTTTCATCCCAGATTTTTCACACTGAAAACATCTCTAACCAGTGAAAAAGAAACAAGTTCAGGCTCTCAAATTAGTCCAGGTAATAACGTGGAAAACAAAATCACTCTACTTTACTATTGCCAAGAAAAAAGTTTTCAGAAACTTACAGATGGGAAGTTGAAGAATTACTTAATGTGGAGGCTTAAAGAAGTTTTTTGTTGTTTTTTTTTTCTTTTTTTTTCTTTCTCTTTTCTGCTGTGTTATGCAGGCTGTACCCTGGAAGGAAAACTCTACCCCTTTGGTGAGATTGCAAGGACAGAAAATTGCTTCAGATGCAACTGCAGCCCACATGCAATGCGTTGCTGCTCCCTGTAAGTTTGGACTTCCTAAGAAGCATCATTGCCTATAGGAACACCACAGCACAAGAGGGCTTTCCTCACCCATGTCACAGAGCTAGGGCCAGCCAGACATAGCTCTTGACCACTTGGATCCTTGACTACAATTACCTTTGTTCACTTTCTGCTGACTAGAGTGGACACAGGCCCTTCCAGTCACATCCAGCTGGTGCTTGCCTGTAATTCTGAGGAACTTGGGAACCCCTCTTACCCTGTACTTAAGTTTTTCCTTAGCAGAAAAAGTGGGGGTAGAAATTTATTCTACAGAGCACTTAAGTGAAGCTCCTCAAAAGGGCTTGTAATGACTTGAATCCCTTTCTGGAGTTGCTTTTCTCCAGTGAATATGCTGACCCTAGGGTAACAAGGCACTGCTCTGAAGTACCTATCTCCAACATCCTCCTTTCCTCTTAACCTGCCTTCTCCAAGGACCAAAACAGCTTCATTATGATCATTACCTTTGCTCACATAACATTCAATGTATCAGGAAACAGCTGTGACATTCTAAGCAATCTGGCAGTAATGAAAAATAAGTGCAAAAGAGATAAGACATGCCAAGAGTGCTGTGCTATAAATCCCTATGGTAGTGCTGAGGATGCTGGTACATGTGCACTGTGCAATGCAGCAAGGCATCTTTGAGGCCCAGGAAGCTGTAACTGGGTGACAGTCAAGCTAGCTAGGCTGGTCTTAGCCATAGGTCCAGAAATATATCACTCAGCATCAATTCAAGCTATAACTACTGAACCAGCAAATTTCTATTTCTCTCAGTCTAACACTTGCTTTCTCTCTGCCAATGACAGCTTTCATACTCCTATTGATTATGACAAAGTGAACTGCAAAGTCATTTTTAACAAGAAAATCTGTGACTATGAAGTGGTGCAGAAGAGTGACCCCTCAAAGGAGTGTGCTGTCTATTCTCGTGTGGGCTAACAACCCACCTGCTCCTAACCTCTCGGCACTGTGGAGTTCCTCCCCTTCCTACAGATGCTTTGCCATCACAGTGAAGCTCAAAGACATAGGAGATCTTGTAAGAGAGAGTACTCCAACAGCTCACTTCTAATCTACTTGTTCTAATTCAGTATACAAGATGCATAATCAGATACATCTGATTTCTGTTAATACTTGAATTGGTTCCACTGAGCTTTTTTGAAGACAATAAATCCAGATGAATCATCCAGAATTGCTTCATAGTGGTGGTTCATTTTGTGTAATAACAAGGGGCAACGTCATCTTCTTTGAGAAAGGAATGCACTCACCTCACTACTCTGATGTGCTGTACACAAGTACCCTGGCATAAGCTGCTTTCCCACTTTGCATGTTCTATTCTAGCCAAAGGTCAGAGCAGATATTTTAGCTCACCAAGTGTTGAAAGCCATTACCACTTGGGGGACATACACTGTTTGAGACATACAGTACTATGGGCATACTACTCAGGGCACACAGGACACACTTGAACTGCTGCAGGAGTTTAGGCAAGACCCATGCTGTTAACGTATACGACCTCTGAGAAAAGGGCGAAGTTGGAAGACCATAGTCTTTTTTCTCCTTTCTCCCCCTTTTTTTCAGCCATGTCATCATCCAATAGCAGTCACTGTTCCACTCCAGTGCCCACTCTGACCTACTGCCAAGTGTCCTTCTCCAAGCCCCACCCCTGAAAGTCTGCACACACTGCACTGCAAGGCAGATACCTTCTGTCTTTTCATTATAAAAATTCCCTACAATTGCTGAGAAGTTCAGTGATGGGTTTCAAAACTGAATCTCCCACCTGGCAATTGGTAGTGTCTTCACTCTGGCTACATATAGGGACCAGGCAGCAATGCCCTAAAAAATGCAACTTCTACATCACCTCTTTGCTTCAGAGCTGGGTAGCAAGAAGCCACAGCAGTCAACTGATGTGTGGTTTGAAAAGAAACACACCTTCCAGGACAAGTGGACTGCTTAATGATGCTCCGTAATCACAACAAGTCTGTTGTCTTGTAACAATATGAAGTTAAGCTAAAGCATTCTTAGGGCAGGGATCCTCACTTGGCCCAAAATCAGTTATCAGCCTATGTTTATTCAGATGGATACTTGCTTCTCAAGATGACCCACCTCAAGCTCTGCAAACCATCAGTAAAATCAGAAGGGTTTAACGTAGTATGTTTTCTCTGGCTTTGTTTTCGGTAATTTGTCTATGACCATTGTTTTAAACTTTCTTACAGCTTCACTTAAGATACCTCCTTTTGGGAAAAAAATCCAAGTGTTTTGCAAGCACTCTTATTTCATACTTCTCCTTTTAAAGCTCTCAGAACTGCAGGCTGGATATCAGTCAATAACTCTGTGTGACCGTACAATTAGTTCCTGCAAAACTGAAAAAAAAAATAAAAAATATTGACCAGCCAGAATTGGAGTCACTTCAGCTTTTTCCAGTATCAACATTTTGCATATGACATTTTAAAATCTGACTTGCATTCACTGATTTAATCATGTCATTCCTCTAAACAGCATGTGGAAATGAATGTTCTTGCATTGCTTAAGGTCTTAAGATAAGTTTTCTCCAAAAGGTTTTCATATCCTGCAGGAGAGGAACAGTTTTGAAAATTGTCCTGAATTACTTTTCTCCTTTTCTGCCAGTTTGTGTCAAAATTGCATGAAACAGAAACTAACTGGTACCTGAGGGAATGTTTTAGTTTCTAGAATAAACATCTGCAGCTTTTTCAGGAATACTTCAAGCATGGAGATCTAAAGACTTCCTACCTGAACAACTCACAGAACTGTTTCTTGAGAAAACTGGTTGGCATATTTATTTTTTTAAATCCTAGTTTTAAGAATAAACATTTGCATGGCTAACAAAAGTGACTTTAAGTTTCCTCATGGATTATTTTTTAATTCAAACCGGAGAGGAGTGCACACATCAAGACTAGCAGCCAGTTTGTTGTAGTCTAGAACTCTGCCATGTGATCCTGGAATTATTTCAGCATTCCAAGTTTTTCCCTATCACAGTCTTACAAATTAAGGCTTCGTTTTTCTTCCAAAACTTATGAAAGTTGGTTTTTTTTATATTGCAAGGTCATATTAATGTTGTTCATATTAGTAGTTCCTCAGTAAGACTTCATATTTTAAGTTACTTATAGATACATATTTCACTTTTAAATTAAATAGAATTTCATTTTACATATTACCTTATTTGGACCTTTATTTATTTATTTATAATTTGGGGCCTTATTACCTCCTAGAGTCCCAAGACTTCCTGTAGAATCTAGGTGTCAAGTTTTCTTGCAGATGAAGACAACTTCCTCGTTGCAAGAAGATTTTGGATTTGCTGACAGTACCAGTAAAAGCATGAGTGACTGAACCAAGAAACCTAGCATTTCATCAAGTCAAGCTTGTCTGGCCCACAACTGTAATAGGCAAATGATCTCTCCCTGTCCTTATCTCAACCCATGAGCCTTTTGTTATACTTTCTCTCAGCTGTCCAGCTGAGAAGGGGAAACATGCCTTCAGTGTCCCTGGATCCAGAGCAGGGTCCACTGTTGCACCATGCAAGTTCCAGAGCCAGGGCAATTTTCAAAAATTTCCACAGCAACACTTCCACCTTCAATCCTTCCTATAGCTAACTCTGTAAGTCACATGTCCAGCAAAAAGTCTTTACTTTTTCATAGACTTATAATCTTCATTTGCTTGACCAGCTGCAGGGTTGAGATGACAAGCTCAGTTTGAAATAACTGTGTTTTTTCATTTCTGGAATAAACTTTTCTGTCATTTTCTGGTTCACTGAAGCTTTCTAGGATCTTTTTGTTACAATGTGGTTTGAGTTGAAAATTAAAAGCATAGGAAATATTGCATTTCCCATAATTAGGGATCTCTTTTTGGATCACTCTATAACCCCTATCCATTTTGCTTCTCTGCCTCTGGACTTTTGTCCTTGCTGCTATAGTGTCTATGGCTGTTTCCCTCAGTGCTACCTGCACTGCAGAGATAGAAGTCTCCTTCTTGCAAACACAGCCTGACATTCATGATTGGTTCTTTAGATCTTCTTGTTTGTCTCTGTGTCCCTTGTGTAACACTGATCCTTCATCTGGGGACCCTGATAAAATCCTGGTAGGATTTTCCAGACGAGCTGAGGAATTACAATGCATTTTTTAAAAATTCATTTACACTTTAATAAGAGGGGTCTTTGCTTATCCACAGAACTAAACGGGGGGAGGGGGGGGAGGGGGGGGCGGAAATACTTCTTATTTCACTGAAATCGCATTGAATTAAAACTGAAATTTGCCCCAGGGATAGGGATTCTACTACCTGTGAAAGGAGACAGGTATATTCAGATCAGAGGAGAAATAACATTGTTGTCTACAGCTTGGGCCTCCCAGCTTAAACTGAGACCTCAATTCAAATTTCTGCTGTGCCACATGTTACCTGGGGCAGTTCATGCACACCATCTGTGCTCCTTGCCTGTAAATTTAACACAATTCTTTGCTAATTATACCAGGGGAGATCTGAGGACACAACATTTGAGGTTTGTGGGTGTATGAAAACCTCAGAGCCAACAAAAATGTTCTCACCAAGACAAAACTTCCTTCTTCTGCACTTACAATATGTTTCTGTGTCAACATGGCATTGTATATTTTAGTGTTGTTTGCTTGTGCCTTTTCTTAAAACATTTGTCCTTTCTCACATGCAAATGTGGCAGACTTCATTTAACAACGGTAAAAGCAACCTAAGTTATACATGGCATTGTTGTTTTTTAAAGTCAAGACAAATTTATCTGAAAATTTGGTTTACTTATATCTGAGCTGACAAGCCTCATGCTTCCTCTTGCCTTCCCCTCTCAATGGCAGTCGTAGTCAACCTACTGGATGACCAGATACATGAACTTATCTTCCTTGAGAAGTCCTGCAATTTCTCTCTCATCCAGAAACTGATCCCTCTCAAGAAGGGGAAAAGAGAACTGAAAATTGACAGTGAGTTTATGGGTCTTCTACATGATGAAAAAATAAATAACAAAACAGTTATCTACTGTGCTTTTCTAAGAGTCCACACATGCTAGTCACTTTCTGCAGAAACCCTGCTCTACATGTAACCTTTCCAAGCAGCAATAGTTTTCTGCAAGAGCCCTCTTTCATCTTCAACTGATGAACAAGAATGCTGAATGATTGTTCAAGGTTCCTCTCTTTTAAAAGCTAGGTGGTTCAAACAAAGCATGCAAATTTTGTTGTGAGTGACAGCCGCACAGTCTCTAATGGGTTTCTCAGAATAAGTGCTAAGCATTCCTTAGAGCCTTGGAATTCCTCTTGAAGTACATACTATAACTGCCTTCCAGATCTGGTGTGGCACAAAACCCACACCTATTTCTTTAGTACCTTTCAGAAACAAACCTTCCTGTATATAATTGGTTGGTTTTAGTAATGTCCAACCCATGAGGTAATTTTTCAGAAACCTGATTGGAGTTATGCATGCAAGTTCAGTTTGCTCAAGGACTGTTATCATCAATTCCTTCTCTATATAAGTTCCCTGAGAAGATGAGCTTCTTACAGGAAGCCTCATAATTCTGCAAGAATGGTAAGTCTTTATATCTTATATTGTAAGAGACTATGGTATGTTGCTATAGATTTTAAAGGACATTCTGTTGCATTTATCTGAGTGTTCAGATCTAAGCAACTCTGAGGAAATAAAAACTATATTTTGAAAGCAGAAGTCAAATAGATAGGCACTGGCAAGTGAGAACACTGGGTAAAATATATCAGCATTTATATGGCAGGAGATGTCTAACAGGACTCCACCTAAGACTTTTTATTATAACCTGTTTTCACTTATGTGTAATGTTTAGAAGTAATCTCTTTTCTGGCAGAAGGCAGCTCTTTTATGTCTCCACTTAGAACTGGCCTTCATTTTTGTGAAAAGTCTGCATAATGTCTAATATCTAGTTAAACTCAAAAACATTATCTTGATTTTCACTCAGTTGCAGCTCTGTGGGTTTTAGCATCTCCTAGAAAAATTAAATGCTAGTTTTTGCTCCTTCCCTCTCACAGTTATGACTTCTTTTTATAAGTCACCAGTTCTACTTGGTCCAAAACCCTCACATATAATATTTGTGTGCGTATTTGTCATTGTTTATTCCTCGTCTACCTTTCCCACTCCTGCCAAGATTTTAAATTCATCACAGCTTCCATCCTGGAGTTCTTGCACTTACTTCATATCCCAAGTAAAAATCCCTGAAATATTTTAATCTCATATTGAAGGATAAGAGACTGAGGAATTTGGGTTTTCAGAAAAAGCTACTGACAAAGGTAATGAAATACAGAATTATCTAGTTTGGAAAGGATACCTGCAGGTAATTTGCTCCAAATTCCTGCTCAAAGCAAGGCCAGGTCTTAGGCGTTCAACTTCAGCTGAAGTTCTTCAGCTTAGGGTGACACATCCAGTGAAGAAGTTTTTAAAACTGTGAGTGAGGTTAGCAGTAAAGACAGTTGGTGATCAATCCTATAGAGAAAACAAGGACAAGAAAAATGAACAGGGAGAAGGAAGGAATCTATTCCTTTCATAAATACTATCTACTAGCCCTGTATCAGGCAATGCTTGATTTTAAGAACTTGGAAACACACTTTTTTTCCCTCCATCTCACAAGATGCTCTGCCTCTGCTTCTTCCCAACTGCATGTTAAAAGTGTCTGAACAGCAAAAGACAGTGGATATTTATTTGAAATTGCAATGTTTTTTCCTGTTTATAATGGTAGTATTTATTAGCAAGGCATCTTAATAGCTAGTTAAGTATTCATATTGATTCTGCTTTCTTCTTCAGAAAACCATCTTGGTCTGCCTCCTTGTTCTTGCTGTTAGTGTGCCACTGTCCAATGCTGCTTGCTTCTTGCAGCCATTGGAGCCAGGAGAGACTGATGGTAAGATCATAGGTAAAAAGTCAGCTATCTTGAACTTGAAGGCATCACCACAAACACTGCTTGATTTGATTTGTCCAATCACTGCAATTTATCTTAATTTAGGAATAAATAAAAACAGCAGAGACAAACCACCTGGAAACGAGGGTGAACAGCTTGGGAAGCGTTCAGCACACTGAAGAACTTACTCAGGTTTTTTTCCCTATCCCAAGGAAAGTTCTTAACAGACTAGTTGTTCCTCTGGAGTTTGTTACTGCTTTTCCTGAACCCAGCTAGTCTGTCAGTTTGCAGATGAGTGGAGCTGAAGGAAAAATCATGCTCAAAAGAAACATGCAATTATTTGGGCACAAGACAACCTGATGTGTGCCAGTATACAAAAACAGAGTGCCCCAAAATAGTTTTTTTCTGGGAAAGCTTATGTTACTACTAGAATAATGAGTTAGTATTGCCAAAGAAACAGAACATATTTACAGGCAAAGACACAACCTAGAACCTCTAAATTCTTCTTGTCCTGTCCTCATATTCCATGACCATTCCAGATCACTCATTTAGAAAGTCTAAAGTGACAGTTGGACAGGAACTTTATAACCAAATATATGTGTTTGTTTGGTTTTATTTCTGCAGCTGAGAATTAGGAAAAGCTTTCCAGACAGATTTAGTTTCTAAATGAAGAGTCAACAATAGTTGATGTTAAGGAGGGGGAAGTCCAAACCTTTTCTTATTTCTGACCAACTGTGTCTAGTTGTCTTTCTGCTGGATGCTTCAATCTCTGTACTTAAAGATGACTCACTCCAAGAAACTCGATGCTGCCAAGAAACAGAGCAAACAGGGAGACAATAGACCCTTCTCCACGCATTAGAATACTATCAGTCCTGCTCTGTTAGGGACCCTTTGGGCTTGCCAGGGATGTTAATGTAAAAAACCAACAAAGATCCCACCCATTTTGTGCAAGCAATAGTGTTGTTAGAGCAACAAGTCTGACCGTGAAGGCTGCTCTGTGCATTTTCAGGCTGCCGTGACGCAGGTGGAGAGCTGCACAAATTTGGTTCCAGCTGGAGAGATGCAGACTGCAATGATTGCACCTGTGACAAGATCGGAATGAACTGCTGCTCCAGGTAAATTCAGAGTAAGAGCAGCAGCCGGGGCTTTCCTCCACTGTCACAATACAGCACAAAGCACTTCACTGCACTCAGAGGTCCCTGAGTAATGATCATGACCTTCTCTCACTTCATATCACAAAGTTATGATACATTTAGCAACACCATCATAACTGAGCATGACAGAAGTTCCTCTGACAAATATAATTCATTTTAAAAAGGAATTGATTCTTCTTGGGTACAAAATTCCAGGCAAGTAACTGATTCAAGAAAGAATTTAAGTAATTACTTAAGTGTTTTCTACTGCTCTAATCCCAATCTTCCCAAAGCCACACAGAACCCCTCTTTACTCTGAGAAGCAACTCAAGATATGCTGGCCTGTTTGCAATTTTGACTGTAGTGACACCTGCTCACTCCTGCAATTCTTGTTCCGTATTGTGGCTGAGAAGGAAAATCAATGACGTTTGCATAGCAAATAAATACAACATCCTTTGGGTGTAAAACAGATGCATAAGCAACAACTCTCCTCTAATCCTACCAAAGCAGCAGGCTAAGTAACTTTTGAGCTGGGAGCTTTGTGTGGGCTCCCTTTTCTGCTCCTTAACACCTCCTCAGTATAGTCTTTTGCCATTAAAAGCATAGATACCATGTCAAATGGAGGTTGCTTACTTCTTTGTCTCATCACTTTATCTTTTTCCACTGACAGCTATGCAACACCAGTTGACTATGATACAGAGAAGTGTGAAAGCATTTTCAACCCAGAGGCCTGCACTTATAAAGTAGTGGAGAAAGATGATCACTCAAAAGAATGCCCAGTCCACGGCTGGGTGGGTTAACAAGGAAGGATGGTGTATTGGAAGATATTTCCCTTTTTTTTTTAAAGGATTCTCTCTCCCACATAAATTCAGAGACACTGAAAAATGCAGCTGTTGAGTGAAATTCGTGCATAAAATCTAATACTTAATAAAACTGAGTATCTGCTCACAAAACAGTCCTTTGGTTTCTCTGCCTTCTGCCTCACCATGAAGATAGAACTGACTTGTTCCTTCCTTGAGAGCAGAAATTAAAGCCAATATTTTAAAGCATTTTCAGTAGCTGCTAATATTAATTTTTTCAGTCCCAGGGAGTATATTCTGTTATCTCTGCACAGCTGTATCTTAAAGCTAAAATAAAATCAGATTAAGCATCAGAAATTCCTGTGAAAGATTTTTTTATTTGAGGATTGAAACCTATAAAATGAACATTCAAAAACATGGGAAAGAAATAAAAAAGCAACTTAATATTTCTGAACACACTCCTTTCTAGGACAATGTTTTATTTATATGATGATCTTGTGTCATCCTATGTGGTGCCCTGAAGCCTGCCAAGCCTGCAAGAGCCACCAGCTACCCACTCTAACCCAGCACTATACTTCCATTGCATCCACAACACTGCAGACTCAGTCCTCAACATGGGTTTTGCGTAAAAAGGGTCTTTTAGTTCAGATTAACTCTTAAGAAATCCAAGTTATTACATGGGCTAATGGAAAGGATTGTGGCTGGATGAAGAGACTGACCCGGACTGAGCTCAAACAGAGAAGACACTCAGCAAATTGAAACAGTATCTGTGAGGGACACACGTGCCGGTGTAAGCTCTTCCTTGGGGTGCCACTTCATATCTTTATGAGTACATTTGCCTCTTTCCACAAGTGGCTAGGAGTATCCTATGTTTTCATTGTCTATTTCCCTGTAACAAAAAAAGGTTGTCAGAGCATCTGTAGTTTCTCATTTCAAGCATGGAATGAGACCACACACACACCTTTTCATCCTGGTCTTGCTGTCAGCAGGGTCAAGGCAAACTTACCTTCTCTCAGCCTTGACCACATGTGCTCCAGGAAGCAACACAGGACTCCAGGTATAACAACCCAGCACTTTATTCCACCTCAGCTTCCCTTTCCCCTGGAAGAGAACCCAGTTGGCTACACTATTTTTTAAATTGCCTGCCACGCATCCTCTACATCTGTTCTCAGATGTGAATATTGCTGTTTTCAGCAGGTAGTGCATTCAGATTCACAGCACACAGCTCTCCCACCAGCCCTAATAGAGAG